GTATGTTTCTTCTCCAAAAAATTTCTGCCTTATCAGATTAATTATTCTGTAATCGAAAAGGAAGCCTTGGCATTGGTTTGGGCACTCCAGCATTTTGATGTCTATGTTGGGGGGGGTGGATTGCCGGTGGTTATCTATTGTGACCACAACCCTTTGACGTTTTTGACAACTTTACAAAATCCTAACCAACGTTTAATGCGATGGTCTTTATTTTTACAGCCGTACAATTTGGAGATTCACCACATCAAGGGGAAGGAAAATATTTTGGCGGACGCCCTTTCTCGTGCACCGGTCTCTTGAAGTGATAGAGATATGTCGATTTGTGTCCTGTTTCTTATTTGTTGATTGTGTATAAGTTTTTTTTTTTTTAAATTAATTTTTTTTGGGGAGGAAGGTGTGACGACCCCTTGTGGTCGTTTGTGGCTGGGGTGTGGGTGTCGGTCTGTGCATCTGTGTGTGTGTGTGTGTGTTGCAGGTCCAGCTGATTGCGCTGGGATTGAGAACACCGGTTTGTGATTGAGTTGCTCTGCTATAAATAGCGTGTTCGTTTCAGACGAGGAGGAGAGGCTGCACGTGGAATCTGGTCACTTACCTTTCGGCTGGGATCGGTTTTGGACCTGATGGGCTAGCAACATGACCTTTGATAATAGTAAATAAATATATTTTTGTACCGCAATTGTACTCGACTTCTCCTTATTTGTGGTGACCGGTTTAGGTCATAACAGAGGGTATGCGCTCTTGCCGCATGTCTCAGCTCGCCCGCCGTCTGCTCCTCTGGAGTCATCTGCGGCTGAAATCGCTGTGCGCCATTTAAATCCCAGGTATGCTCAACCGTGCCGTCTCAGGGACAGGGCACCATCTGGCACCCTGCCACGATCTCTGGAACCTCCACGTGTGGTCCCTAGACGCAAGAAGACTTAGGTAGCCTACCGTCTGCGGTGGTTGATACCATCACTCAGGCTAGAGCCCCCTCCATGAGGCGCGCCCAAGCCCTGAAGTGGAGTCTATTTACTGGATGGTGTGTTTCTCGCAGAGAAGACCCCCGAAACTGCCAGATCAGTGTTGTGCTTTCTTTTTTTCAAGAGAAGCTGGAGAGCCCTCCACTCTCAAAGTATACGTGGCTGCCATCTCTGCTTATGACACGGTAGCTGGCGGCACCGTGGGAAAGCACAACCTCATCATCCGGTTCCTCAGAGGCGCTAGGCGAATTAATCCAACTCGCCCCCCTCTCATGCCCTCTTGGGATCTCGCCCTCGTTCTCACGAGCCTGCGTACAGATCCCTTTGAGCCACTCAAATCAGTATCCTTAAGATTTCTGTCCCTGAAAACAGCACTGCTGGTCGCGTTGGCCTCCATTAAGAGGGTCGGGCACCTGGAGGCATTTTCGGTCCGTGACTCGTGCCTGGAATTCGGGCCGATTTTTTCTCACGTTATCCTGAGACCCCGCCCGGGTTATGTGCCCAAGGTTCCTACCACTCCCTTTAGAGACCAGGTAGTAACCTGGCAAGCGCTGCCCCGGAGGAGGCAGACCCAGCCCTTTCCTTACTCTGTCCAGTTCGCGCTCTGCGTATTTATGTGGACCGTACTCAGTACTTTAGATCATCTGAGCAGCTATTTGTCTGTTATGGCGGTCGGCAGCAGGGAAGTGCCGTGGTTTTACAATCTGCGAGTGGGGCCGGTTTCCTCAAGGGTATTAGGTAACCCTTGGTGACTGAGGAAACAATTTGGTGGGGTGTTGTAACTCGCTTGCGGTGCCATTTTTCCCTATCACGGAGAGATGTGCACCTCCCTGTCTGTCAGTAAAGTTCCCTGTTAGGTGAGCCCTGCAGATTCCTCCGTGGCCCCCAGCACTGACTCAGCGGAGGAGTCACTTGCTGGCCCACTACATTGTAGGTCTGCCTGCTGGTCAGCCCGGGTTTGGGTATAAGTGCCTGCTATGTGCGATCCCCACTAGGCGATCCCATATGTCTTTCTGCCATGGTTCAGTCCCCCCTCTTGGGTGGACCCGTGCCTTCCCTATACGCTAACCACCTTCTTATGCGCACTCCCCCTTCCTAGGGCTAGTTCATATGTAATTACCATTTTGTCTCCCCCATTGGGTGTGGATGGTCTCCGCAGCGTCCTCCCTACCGGGATTCCACACTACCCAACGTACTGTCGTATTTCCTAGAATTATCTAGACGCTAGCGACTCCCCAAAAATATACCTATTCCGTGAAACTTCCTTTGAAGTGGGATGAGTTAGGGCCAAGGGCACGTTAGAGGACCGCGCCTCCCATGATGTGGGTGTGTCACGCTTGCTTGACTGCCCTCTTATCGGGGGCGTTTGTAAGGTGCAGTCATTATGGCGTTTTCCATAGTTCTCCCATATGTGGATTTTCTAGATCAAATCTACCTATAGCATTGGAGTTCCTCAACTGAAGGGGAACGTTCGAGGTTACAGAAGTAACCCTTCGTTCCCTGAGGAGGGGAATGGAAATGCTATACTCTGCCATAATGACTGTCCCTTAGCTGTTAAAAGCCTCTTCAGCTTAAAAGGATGGCGTTTGCTCGCTCCAGGTGTGCTTATATGCTGGGATAATTGGCAATGAAGCACACCTGCGCAAGCTTACGTTGCCAATTCATTGGCTTTCATTGGCCCGTTCAATACTCTTTCAGACAAGCGGCTTCTGAACAGAATCCTCCCATACGTGGATTTTCTAGATCATATCCACCTATAGCATTTCCGTTCCCCTCCTCGGGGAACTAAGGGTTACTTCTGTAACTTTGAACGTTCTTTGCATTGCCTTTACAGTGACATAACTACTAAAATTTGGAGGCTGAGAAAAATGCTCATTAGAAGAAAATTTCAGATGGAACAAGTTTTTTGAGAGGGTGCTCGCTGCAGAGCCATTTGAGCAGAGCTGAGCTCCAGCGAGGGGGAGCATGCGTGAAAACTATTGGGTAGATTTGTCACGTTACTGATGTGAGGTGCTTCTGTCCATGTTGCTTATATTATTATAGGATTGTTATAATTATTAATAATAATTAAAGAACTTATCATTTATACAGGCTCTGAAAATCATGGTTCTATTGTTTACAATTAACAAAAATGATATAAATGTAATAGGTATCTTGTATTATATGAGATTATATGTACACAAATGGACAATGAGAAAGTTAAAAATATCTGCGTTGAATAATCAAACAAGTCAGGAAAACAAACAAGATTTAAGCAGTTTACTTGTGGATGAAAAATGTTATACAAACAACAAAGATAACAACAAATTCATGTGAAGTTTAATAAAAAAATAATTATATATATATATATATATATATATATATATATATATATATATATATATATATATATATATATATATATATATATATATATATATATTTAAATTAAGATTTAATAAACCTGCAATATTTTTTAAGTCGTTGCGCTTCTAATGTCAGTCACATATTGATGGGTTACATGTAATAAATTACAAATACTTTTAAATATTACACCATTTTGAGCAGCAATTTTCATCATTGTGTGGTGTTTAAAGAGCTTCATAATAGAGCTTTGAGTTTCTGCATTACTATAGTTTGGTTTTGGATTAAATCTGTGTATTTTGGCTAAGCTGTTTTAAAGAAAACACGCATGGCTTTACTAGAAGATCTTTACATTCATACTCATTATTTCTTTGTGTTGTTGTTGTTTCTGCAGTGTGGATAAAGATGATCAGACTGGAGACCTGCAGCAGGATTCACTCCAACCAGAACATGATGAACTCCAAAGAGTCAAAGAGCAGCACAAAACCAGCATGAAGAAAAAGTATGAGAGATTATTTGAGGGAATCAACCATGGAGAGACTCAAACCCTCCTGAACAGCATCTACACACAGCTCTACATTATAGAAGGAGAGAGTGAAGGAGTGAATAAAGAACATGAGGTTTTACAGATGGAGAAAAGAGCCAGAACAAAACCCTCACAACACACTCCAGTCTACTGCAATGATATATTTAAAGGCCCAACTGAACTAGGACTTAAGAAAACAAGAAGACGAAGAAGTAGAAGAAACAAGAAGAAAATAAACAAGGAGAAACCCCTGATCAAGACTGTTCTCACTAAAGGCATTGCTGGAATTGGAAAAACCGTCTCTGTGCAGAAGTTCATTCTGGACTGGGCCGAGGGAAAAGCCAATCAGGATGTAGATTTCATGTTTGTGCTTCCATTTCGAGAGCTGAACTTGATCAGAGATCATCAGTACAGTCTTCACAGACTTCTGCTGGACTTTCATCCTGAACTTGAAGATCTGGAGCCCAAGATTTATGAGCAGTGTAGAGTTGTGTTCATCTTTGATGGTCTGGATGAAAGCAGAATCACACTGAAGTTTTCAGATGAGGAGAAAGTTTGTGCTCTGACTGAATCTTCATCAGTGGCTGTGTTGATGTTGAACCTCATAAAAGGAGATTTGCTTCCCTCTGCTCTCATCTGGATCACCTCCAGACCAGCTGCAGCCCATCAGATCCCCTCCAAATACATCAACCGTCTGACAGAAATTCAGGGATTCACTGAGCCTCAGAAGGAGGAATATTTCAGGAAGAGAATCAGCGACGAGCATCAAGCCAGCAGAATCATCTCCCACATCAGAAGAGCAAGAAGCCTCCAGATCATGTGCCACATACCCGTCTTCTGCTGGATCTCCTCCACTGTGCTTCAGAAGCTCCTGGAAGAAGATGTGAGTGCAGAAATCCCTCAAACTCTGACTGAGATGTACATCCACTTCCTGCTGATTCAGATCAACGTGAGGAAGCAGAAGTATGAAGAGAGAGATCCAGAGAAACTCCTGCAGTCCAACAGAGGAGTGATCCTCAAACTTGCTGAAGTGGCTTTCAGACAGCTGATGAAGGGCAATGTGATGTTCTATGAAGAGGACCTGATTGAGAGCGGCATAGACGTCACTGACGCCTCAGTGTATTCTGGGATCTGCACTGAGATCTTCAAGGAGGAATCGGTGATTCATCAGAGGAAAGTCTACAGCTTCATCCATCTCAGCTTTCAGGAGTTTCTGGCTGCTTTCTTTGTGTTTTACTGCCATTTAACAAAGAACACAGAACCGCTGGAGAGAGAATTTTTATATAGTCATTATCTACAGGCCAGCTCTGAGAACTCTCTGTATGAACTGTTCAGATCAGCAGTAGATAAAGCAGTTGAGAGTAGTAATGGTCATCTGGATCTGTTCCTGCGGTTCATGCTTGGCGTCACACTGGAGTCCAATCAGAGACTCTTCCAGGATCTGCTGACACACACAGAGGAGAGTTCAGAGAACATCAGAGAAATCACACAGTACATTAAAGACAAGATCAAGAGAGATGACTGTCTCTCAGCTGAAAGATCCATCAATCTGTTCCTCTGTCTGCTGGAGGTGAAAGATCAGACTCTGGCAAGAGAGATTCAGGAGTTTTTGAAATCAGACAAACACTCAAAGGAGGAACTCTCTCCTGCCCATTGCTCAACAATCTCCTACATGATTGAGATTTCAGAGGAGCCGCTGGATCAGTTTGATCTTCAGAAATTTAACACATCAGCTGAGGGAAGACTGAGACTGATATCAGCTGTGAGAAACTGCAGAAGAGCTCTGTGAGTATTTATTCATTCATCACAGAGGACACACTCAAGAGTCAGATTGGTTTAGCAGATAATTGCCCTGCTTTAACATATTCATAGAATACTGTTTATTTCTCATGTTAATATTGAAACAAAGATGTAGTTTGCAGCAGTTTAGTGCACTATATTAGTAAAACATTAAACCCTTTTTATAACATGAAATAATTGCAATGCAGTGGCGCAGTAGGTAGTGCTGTGTCCTCACAGCAAAATGGTCGCTGGGTCACTGGTTCGAACTTCAGCTCAGTTGGCGTTTCTTTGTGGAATTTGCATGTTCTCCCTGCATTCGCATGTTTCCTATGGGTGCTCCGGTTTCCCCCACAGTCCAAAGACATGCAGTACAGGTGAATTGGGTAGGCTAAATTGTCCTGAGTATGTGTGTGTGTGTATGTTTCCCAGGGATGGGTTGTGGCTGAAAGGGCATCCGCTGCGTAAAAACGTGTTGGAAAAGTTAGCGGTTCATTCCGCTGTGGCGACCCTGGATTAATAAAGGGACTAAGCCGACAAGAAAAGGAACGAACTTAACACCCTGTAGACTGAACACTTAACAGTGCTCATTTCTTACTGCTGATTTTGCGCTTACAAAAAATTACAGCAGTTTTTTTAAAGAATGAAAGCAGTTTTTTTTAAAGAAATGCTGCAGTTTTAGTTAACTTCTGAAAAGTGCAGTTTTTTTTTTACATGGAAAAATGCAATATTTAAATATTTACAGTATTACTGCAATACAACTGAAGTACTACAATACAACCAACTGCAGTACATCTACTGCAATACAAATGAATTACTACTACAGTACAACTATAACGCAATACAACTACTGCAATGGTACTGAAGTGCTGCAACCTCTATAATGCAGTACTTCTACTGCATAACAACTGAAGTACTACTACAGTACACCTGCCATACCACTATTGTAATACAATACAATGCAGTACAACTACTACTTTTCCTGCTGTGGACAATGATTTCCAAATGAAGATTTAGCACTTAAGTTTTATTGCTGAAGTACCACAATATAATGTATTGCACTTTTCAGAAGTATAACTAGCAACAGAAATACATCTACAATACTGCAATACATAATAAAACTAAAGTGCATGTCACGTCATGTAAAACATGTCACTGTATTGCCCCTCTCATTTTTTTTTTCATTTTTCATCAGTTGTACTGCAGATTTTGATACTGTTGAACTTTACTGTATTGTAGTTGAACTGTGTTTATACCTCATTCATTGTACTGCAATTTTGCAGTTGCATTGAATATTGCCAAAGTTATCCTTTGTAAATAGGCTGCTACCGTTATGTTCAGTTCACTGCAGTTATTTTTATTATTCGTTTTTGCAAAAAAAACTCTTAAACTTTAAATTAGAAATTACTAGAATCGAAAACATTCCTGAAAAAAGTACAAAATATTTTTGGAGGATGTTGAGGAACAAACCCTTTAGAACACAAGTGCAGTACAGTTCTTACCATACCATTGGCATATTAGACTACAGCTGTCACGGTCGGTGAGGGGAAAAAACAGCGAGGACTCAATTACAACAAATAATGGGTTTTATTAATAATAAAGTACAAATAAAACAAAAAGGGCAAACAAACTACCCCGAGGGGGAAAACATGAATAAAAAGGCAAAAACAAACTTGACTGGCAGGACAAAGCAGGGCTGGACACAACAGGACAGGGAACTATCGACGACGAACTGGCACAGAAAAGCAGGCATGAGGGGATTATAAAGCAGAAGTAAATTGACACAACAGGTGAACATGAGAAACTAATAATGGGTTAACAAGGAGGGTCGGACTAGACAATAGACGGGAGAGCACATGACACAAAGAGACAACACAAGCCATGCGCTCACATAAAACAAGACTGAACACGCAGCCAATGAGAGAACTCATTAACCGCGTGTTCGTATGACAAGACAAACAACACTGAAGCACACAACAAAAGCACGTGACCACAATGTAAACACCGACCTACGTGCTTTGACAAGAGACGCAAGACACGAGCACATGATAAACACCTTACCGTGCGCTCACACTTATGCAACGCGCACGTGCTTCATCTCAGCGCCAAACCAAAACTGAAACCAACTAGACGGAGGCGCTGAAAATAAAACAGCGCTATGCTGACAGAACAAAACACAAGTACAAGAGCGCGCGTCCAAGGCACGCAGAGTACGAGCTGCCACATCATGCAGGAGCGTGCACGCTCTGCACACACCCACGACGGTGCGCGCACACACAGAGACACACACAATGACAGAAACAGGACAAGACAGGGCTAGTGTCCGGACTGCCACCAAACAAAAATTCACAAGACCAGATTGGCAAAACCCTGACAACAGCAGCACATGTGCAGGAGTTTACTTGTTTTTACTGCAGTTTACCGCATCTTATACTGCAGTTTAACTTCATTGTACTGTATTGGAACTGTTTATACTTCATTGTATTGCAATTTTGCAATTGTAATTTATTTTACTGCAGTTATACTTCTATATACTGGTGTTGTACTCCAGTTGTACTCCAGTTTTACTTCAGTTTACTGCAGTTAAATTTTTGTAAGGGTAAGCTCAAACCACCAGATTAACCCATTATTAGCATTGTTTGTTTTGTCCTCTACACAGGCTACAGTGCTGTAATCTCACAACTCTGTGTTGTGAGATTTTGTCTTCAGCTCTAAAATCTGCAAACTGCAAACTGGAAACACTGAGGTTTGAGATCAAACAACTGATTGATTGATTTTTTTTTTATACATCAGATAAATTACTAGAAAACACACTAGTGATGAAATCTGTGTTCTTCTTTCTCAGACTGAGCACTTGCAATCTCACAGCTGACTCTTGTGTGAGTTTGTCTTCAGCTCTACAATCCTCAAACTGTGTCCTGAGAGAGCTGGACCTGAGTAACAATGACCTGCAGGATTCAGGAGTGAAGCTTCTCTCTGATGGACTGAAGAGTCAACACTGTAAACTGGAGACACTGAGGTAAGTGCTTTTCTACTCAACAATGCCAACAAAAAGATAGTTACATACAGGGTTAACAAATGTGGAAGCCCCATTCAGTGGATTGGCAGAAAAAGAAACAAAACAATTGCAGGGATGTGCTTTTATTAATATCTATACATATGTGTGTGTATAGAAAATGTATTTAAAACCATTACTGTGTAATTAGCAATAGTTTTCATTTTCAATAGAAAGCTTCTTTTTCTAATGTACTCAAAGATGACTAACAGTTAAATAAAGCTTATTTTAAAGATCATTTTAATTAATTACTTCTAAAATCTTTATTCATATTTTATATTTATTATATGTTTTTATATTTTTGAATAAGTTCATTGAAAAT